CTTCTACCTGCTCTTCTGTGCCTTTAAGCTGTTTTTCATATTCTTCCTACCACAAAAGAAAATTACAGACCAATATTTTACATTTTAAGAATCATCTCAAGTCTTATTTAGTTTAAAATGGAAATTAGCTGAAATGTACAACTCTGAGTGACTGTAGATAACTTTTCATCTGTATACAGTAATAGTTAAAAAATAGGCAGCCCCCTCTACCTGAAAGCAGGCATGAGAGCATGCCTGTGGTCTTAAGGCATGAGCTGAGGGCAGCTTCCCCCCCTCCCCAGAAACAGGCAAGAACACACCCAGGGTCCTATGGCAGGAGCTGAAAACACCAGTTTTGCAGAGGTGGCCAGTCACAGCCATGTTTGCCACAAAAGTGGCAGATGCCACAGCAGTAGCCACAGCTACCGTGTGGGTGGTCTGCTAGATGCTCGACTTCACTGACACAAGGAGAGTCACCAGTGGAGACCAGAAAAAGAAGAGGGCATCTCTGTATTCTCAAAACCCACTCCAGAGTAATAAAAGAAGCAACTACTCTACCAGATGACCAGACATCAACATAAGGGTACCAGAAATACAAAACCCAAGAAAATATGGCAGCACCAAAATACAGTAATTCTCAAATACCAGACACTATGGTGCGGGAAACCCTTGAAATGACTGAAAAGGAATTCTGAGCAACAATCTTAAGGAAGCTCACTGAGATATGAGAAGACTCAGACAACATAATAGGATGAGAAAAAAAGTCCAGGATGTGAAGGAGGAAATTTACGGAGATTAATACCTTAAAAAAGAATGCAGCAGATCTCATGGAACTGAAAGATTCACTCAATGAAATGAAAAATACAACTGAGAGCTTATGCAGCAGGCTAGAACAAGCAGAAAGAATTTCTGATCTTGAAGATAATCTTTTTGAAATAACCCAGGAGGACAAAAAAAAGGAAAAATAAATTTTAAAAAATGAAGAAAATCTAAGAGAGCTAACAGACAACCTTAAGCACACAAACATTCAAATCATGGATGTTCCTGAAGGGGAAGAGAAAGGAAAAGGCATCGAAAACCTATTCACTGAAATAACAACAGAAAACTTTCCAGGTATAGGGAGAGAAACAGACCTTCAGATCCAGGAGGCTCAAAGATCCCCAAACAGATTCAACCCAAAAAGATCCTCTCCAAGACACATTGTAGTCAAACTGTCTTAAAAGAAGCAACAGAAAAGCATCAAGTTGCCTATAAGGAGGATCCTATCAGACTAACATATTTCTCAACAGAAACTCTACAGGCCAGAGGAAAATGGGATGATACATTCAAAATACCTGAAGCAAAAAATTGCCAGCCAACAATACTATACCCAGCAAGGCTATCCTTCAGAAATGATGGAGAAATAACTGAATTTTCCAGACAAAAACTATGGGAGTTCACCACCACACGACCAAGTCCTGCAAGAAATCCTCAAGGAAGTCCTGTGTCTGGAATCCAAAAAATAATCATCACTACCACTAATACAGAAGAAAGAACAAAATCCACCGGTAGAACAAAAATGCAAATGAAAAAGAAACTAAATCTTACCACCACAAAAAACCACAGTGACAATGTAATGACGACCCTGGCTTTATTTCTGATTTTAGTAATTTCGGTTTTCTTTTTTCTTGATCAGTCTAGATAAAGGTTTGCAAATTTTGTTGATCTTTATAAAGAATCAACTTTTGGTTTTGTTGATTTTCTCTATTTTTTAATTCCCTATTTCATATATTTCTGTTATAATCTTTATTTCCTACCTATATTTGTTTATGGTTTATTTTGCTCTTTTTCTATTTTCTTAAGGTAGAAGTTTACTGATTTGAGATTTTTCTTATTTTTAATATAGGTGTTTACAAGTATAAATTTTCCTCTTAGCATTGCATGAACCCTGCATCCTATAAATTTTGACATGTTACACTTTGACTTTTATCTCAAAGTACTCTAACTTCCCTGTGATTTTTATTTTTACCCATTGTTTATTTAGGAGAGTGTTTAATTTCCACATATCTGTGAATTTTCTAAATTTCCTTCTGTTATTGTGGTCAGAGAATATATTTTTCTATGGTCTTGGTCTTTTTTTNAGGGTTGCGATCCGTTGCCGGACACGGAAAAAGACAAAAGACAAAAAAAAAAAAGAAACTAAATCTTACCACCACAAAAAACCATAGTGACAATGTAATGACGACCCTGGCTTTATTTCTGATTTTAGTAATTTCGGTTTTCTTTTTTCTTGATCAGTCTAGATAAAGGTTTGCAAATTTTGTTGATCTTTTTAAAGAATCAACTTTTGGTTTTGTTGATTTTCTCTATTTTTTAATTCCCTATTTCATATATTTGTTATAATCTTTATTTCCTACCTATATTTGTTTATGGTTTAATTTTGCTCTTTTTCTATTTTCTTAAGGTAGAAGTTTACTGATTTGAGATTTTTCTTATTTTTCATATAGGTGTTTACAAGTATAAATTTTCCTCTTAGCATTGCATGAACCCTGCATCCTATAAATTTTGACATGTTACACTTTGACTTTTATCTCAAAGTACTCTAACTTCCCTGTGATTTTTATTTTTACCCATTGTTTATTTAGGAGAGTGTTTAATTTCCACATATCTGTGAATTTTCTAAATTTCCTTCTGTTATTGTGGTCAGAGAATATATTTTTCTATGGTCTTGGTCTTTTTTTAAATTGAGATTTGTTTTGTGGCCAAAAAGAAAAAGAAGAAAAAGTCAAAAAATGTTCCACACAAGCCACAAAGCTTCTCTGTGTAATTCAGGGAGAATAAGTGAATTGATTTGTCCTCAAAGAACTGATCCTAGGATTTTAATCATAAATGACTCCAAAGTGAGTTTCCCTAGACATGTTATTATGAATTTCTGAGGAATTCTGGTTAAATTTGTTTAGTCAATAAAATGCCAATGCTTGACTCTATCCTTAGCGCAACACGTCTTCATAATGTTGTAAGGCTGCGTGCTTCATTGGAAGTCACACTTTAACAACATAGCATTCTGCCCACCTGCAAGTCTTGTTCCAATTTTTTCCTCATGACGGCGCCCCTGCCCTGGCTCCTGCCCTCCCCCTGAAGTCTGTCCCTGACATTTCCTCATGAACTATGCTGTGACATTTCAGGAATGAGCAGTTGTCCCAGCTTTTTGAATTAAACCCTTATACACAGCGTACATGTGCACCACTAGAAGGTAAGCTCCATGAGGGCACAGATGTTTGCCTGTGTGTTCATCTCTCTCCCTCTAATACCTAGATCAGTGTGCACCCAGGACCTTACTGCACGAGAGGTCCACATGTGCCTGTGGGTGGATTTTTTTCAGTCTGTGTAATGGTTTCAGATTCTTTTTAAACGAAATGCATCATTTGAAAACTGGGTGCACTTGTGTAAAAATAGTTTCCGGCTTTTCTTTGAAATCAGAATTAGCATCCCGGAGCCTGCTCTTCCACAGCACCACACAGGTGGGGCTGGGGGCTGCTGCCTCTTGGGGCAGAGCTTGTGGTCTCCACCTGCCTGGTCCCATGGTCTTCCATCGCCTTCCTTTCAGCCTCTCCATTGTCCCTCTTCAGGGCCATAAGCGGTTTGAGTGTGTGGCCTCAGAGCAGCCAACAGACACAGGCTCAGCCCAGCCCACACAGGTCTGCAGACAAACCATGTCTGGGACGACCTGTGGCCCCCAGGTTGGAGGGACTTTCAGGGTTAGCGAGCTGCCTGCTCCCCAGGGTGGGAGACACTTTCCTTGAGAGGTTCACCCACCTCTCCCTGATCCACCCTTGACATTGGTTAGAGTTGCTTGTTGCCACAGTGAAGATCAGGGGCCTGCAGCCTGTCTGACCAGCCTCCAAGTAGCTGCAGGTGCTGCTGGGTGCCCTCCCCTTGGTCTTGGGCTTTACACTCAAGCAGTTTTTGGTTAACTGAGGACCACTGGCCCAACCTCACCATCTCTGTCACATCAGCTGCCAGCTTGGAGAGGCCATGTCCCTACTCACCTGCTGTGCTTCCAGGTGCCTCCCTGCCTCTTCCCGCAGCTCAGCCACGTGATGCCGAGGCACCAGCTGGTCCATCCGCTCCTGTAGGTACTGAACCTCCTGTGAGTGCTGGGACTGGGCCAGCCTCAGCCTCAGGGTGGCTCTGTGCAACTGTCTCGGGAGGAGCAACAGCAGTTGTGCTGTGACTACAGAGAGCTACAGAGCCATTGGCAGGCACAAAAGTGAAGGACTGGTGGGTTATTCTCCATGTTCAAGGACACCCCACAGCTGGAAGGGAAAGTAAGGCTGGCCCCCTTCTCTGTGGACACTGAGTGTGCAGCAACACCCACAAATTCACAAAGTGCCATTTATTTGTAATCAGACAGCCACGTTCCTGTTTAGCTAGAACTGCTACATAGTGAGTCGGGAAAACTTGAGTCTGCGTTGGCACTTTTGAGACATAGCCGCGGCCGGTTACGGAGCATAACTAAACACAGCGAGTGCTGAAGGGAACTTGGGCCAGTGTCCCCCAATCATGTAGGATGGCACACAATCTACTGGAGTTAGGAACTATGAATAACTTACCCAACTCCTTTTATTAGGCAACTGGAGGTAAGACGTAAACACAATTTAAGTCCATCTGACTCTGGTGGCTTCATCTAGAACATACAGAATTTCCCTGGCCCTCAGAGAACTGGCCATATCACCCCTTCCTCACCTCTGAGACCCCACAGACAGGAGTGGGAGTCACGGTTCCATCAAGCATCACATTTTAGGCAGGTCTGATGTGACCACATGGTCAAACGGAAGGTACCAGCTATTGCCACCCAGGGACAAAAGTGGGTCCCTGCACCCTGTGGGCCAAAACGGAGCAGCAGCCTCAAGGCCCCACACCCTTCAGCCCGCCTTCCCTTAAGCAAAATCTCGCCCTCCTTTAGGGCAGGGCTCCTCCAGGAGCGATGCACCTGCACACACATGCCTGGGTTTCCAGGCCCTGAGGGCAGCTTATCATTCGAGATGGAAAAACAGCAAACACCACTTCACCAGACAGAGCCTCCTCTTGACTTTCTCATCTCAGATGGTCATTCTGCCAGCCCCGCTGGACCCCTGGGTCTCAAGAGCACCTCCCCTCTCCTGCTGCGCTGAGGCTCACTCCCCACTGTCCGTGCTGCTCCCAGCTCCTTCCGCCCCCTGTCCCAGTCGTGCTGGGCTCTGAACCCCTACCTGACTAAGCTCTCCCACGGCCAAGCTCACATCTGGCCCCAAGTGGCACCTCTGCCCGAAGTGGACGGTCCACAAAAACATCTGCTGAACAGAATGCCATGGTCCTCCTCGTTTCCTTCCTTGTGAAAGTAGAACTCATGAAGGCTGCGCCAGCTCTGGAGACCCTGCTTGACTGTCACAAGGGAAGGGAAGGATGTCCCCAGAAGAGCACAGGCAAATGAGGACCTCTGTTCTGGCTCTGGCAGCAAGCCTCTCAGAGAGCAGCAGCATCTCCTCCGGTCCAGAGTGTGGGGCCCACCATTCCTCTGCAGCAGTGGTCGCTGTCCCCACCAACCCCCTGTGGAGAGGTGGGCCCTGTCCTGCTCCAATCCCCCCATGGAGTGGTGCATGCCTCAGTCCAGAGAAGCCCTCAGAAAGCCCCAGCACCTTCTGACTGTACTACCCAGGTGAGGTCCCGGGTGAGAAGGGCTCAACTGAGCCCAGGCAGCCCACAGGACCATACAGGAGGTGACAAAGGGGTGCTATGAGCCACCATGCTTTAGAGTGCTTTGCTGTGCCATCATACAGCACCAGGACAGGGGTCCCAAGGCCTGTGACACGTCAGCATTGTGGTCAAGCAGCACTCCACTGTCAGAGCTTCCCTGCTTGTACCTGCCCCACCTGCCCTGTGACTCCAGGCCCTTCCTCCTCTGAACCACACACAGGCACAACAGTGAGAACACGGCTGCATCCCCCTGTCCCCCATGTGGCGGCCACACTCAGCCTGACCCACCCTCTCCTCACCACTCCCCAGAGAGCCGAGTTTGCCTTTCCCAAAGAATTTCCTTAACTATCCTCTAAGCTCTTCTACTTCCCTTATACTAACTTTTAGTGACATTCTTTTTAGGGGTGTTCCTCTAAATCCCAAAGAAGAAAAGGATACCAGCTCACACCACTGCAGGATGTACTTCAAAGGAGGTACTTTCCTGACCGTGGTAGTGGCTGGGTGTTGGGCACGGACCCCAATGGTGCACATGCCTATTCTCTTCCAGATCGTGAGCTCTCCACCACCATGAGCCCGGTTTCCCTGTCTTTGCACCTCCTGAGGCTTTTCACCTGTGGGGCCAGCAGGTGTGGACACCCAGTGACGTGTGCAGGTTCTGTGTTGTCACTGTGTGCATGTGAGTGTGTGCAAGTGTAAGGTGGGGTGCAGAGCTTGTGAGCCACGGCATCGCCCTGCCCTCCAGCCTGCTGCGCTGGTTCTGACCACCCTCAGTCCCTTTCTCATGCCACCCAGATGATTTCCTTTGGTTCCTCCATTCTGCAGAGGGCTCATCCAGAGTCAGTGCTCTCCTTTCCTCATGAGTAAACTGAGGCACAACTCTTTACATGGCTTGCTCAAGAGTCAAACCAATCCTGGGCTAGGTGCAACTTCAGTCCTGGGCCTGGTGAGTGCCCAGGCTATGTGACCTCAGGCCAGCTCAATGACCTCCCTGGGCTGGACTAGGCCTGGAAATGCTCGGTCAGCATTTTGCTGATACCCCCTCCCGGGCTGGGACTGAACCTAGTTGCCTCCAGCCATCACTCTCACCCACCTGTGCTTGACTTTCTTCAAGGGTCTCTTTCAGTTCTGACTGTGACAGTCTCAGGCTCTGACATTCCTGATTCATGCATTCAAGGTCACCGTCGAGTTTCTGGATTTGGTCACTCTGTTTTTAAAAAATCAATTACATAAGGACAAAATTATCTTAGCAGTTTCATACATGTTTGATGCAGAAACTACAGAAAATCACAGAAAATAAAACATTGCAAAATTTAAATTCCCCAGGACCCCACCAGCCTGAGGCCCACAGCTGACATTCTGCTGCAATTCCGTCCCCCTCTTCCACACACTTGCATGTCTGCTGATGAGATGGCATCAGAAAGCACACACTGTCCTGTGCTGCCACCTCACCTGTGCTGAGCATTTCCCCACAGTATACATTATTTGATAACATGGTTTTTAATGGCTGCACCATAATTTAGGGACTCATTCGCCTACTGTTGATGATTCAAGCTGATTCCAATTCTGTTTTGCTATTATGAATAGGCATGGCAAAGAAAACACTCCACCTACATCTTTCTACATTACTCTTAGGCAAAATCCCCACAGGCAGAATCATGAAGTCAAAGCATACAGACATCCTAGAGGCTCGTGGAGCATGTTTTGCCAGACTGCCCTCCAGGAAGGCTGCACCAATTTACTCTCCAATCATTAGCATTTAACTCCTTTCTGCTACATTTCCTAGATACTGGGGATTTGCAAAAGCTGCTCGACTCCACCTATTTCTCACAGGCTTGCTGTGAAGTCCCTCCCTTTACTTCTGCGTGGCTCTTCCCCCAGGTGCATTAAGGTCCATCCCGTTTCCAGCCGCTTCCCCACTGTGCTCTCTCCCCTCTGTCCACAGCCCACTCACCTGCTGTGGCCCCCGCCACCCTGCCCCCTCCAGCCTCTGCGCCAGCAGCTGAATGGTGGCCAGATTCTTCTCACTTTGAACCTGGTAGGTAGACGCTTCCCCTCCCAGCTGAAGGACCCTGTGGTTGAGCTGGGACAACTCATCCTTATATTTCTGATTCTAGGATCAAAAGGGTTAAAAAACAGATGAAAAAAATTTTTTTTCAAATGAGCAGCTCAATTCAGATCATTCCAGTGGCTCTCAACCGGGGGACATTTGGCA